GTGTGTGTGTGTGTGTGTGTGTGTGTGTGTGTGTGTGTGTGTGTGTGTGTGTGTGTGTGTGTGTGTGCGCGCAGCCCAGTGGCCAGGCCAGGCTCGGTGTTGTCCGACGCGGATAAATGATGGCACATATTTTTTGAAATACGGTTTTCTGTCTAAACTTTAATACTGAAAGAATGTGTACGTGCCCCTGGACGTGGGCCAACTCGCGATTGGCCGATTGGCCATGTCCCCGTGCCGCCGTGCGTACGCCCTCTGTTGCTCTCCATGCCCCCCCCCCCCCCCCACTTGCAGTCTGCCGCACAGTGGGCCAGAAGACCGGTGGAGGCGGCCAATATTTTAGACGCGTTTGAGCTCCTTAGTCGCTAAATGGGACTCGAATCAAACGTGTGTGGATTGCTCCACTGGTAAACAAAGCGTAACTCATGCTTGAGTCAAGATAAGTACGCTTGAAGACGTTACGCTTGAAATCAAGCATACTCTGGAAATTCCATGCATTAGATAGGGGAAATCTAGGCGAATGAGCCTGTTACGCTTGATTTCAAGCGTAAACAGATTACGCTGGAAAACCGTGGGTAATACTACGCTTTAGTTTTACCAGTGTCTCCGGACGAGGAAATCAATGGTGGGGTCAAACGTTCGGTTCGAGCCCTGTTTGGCGACTCTGGAGCTCAAAACGCGTCTAGAGTTTTGGCCGCCTCCACCGGTCTTCTGGACCACTGTGAGCCACACATGCGTTCTCTCTCGCTCCGCCCGGCTCTGTCCGAGGCTCGGCCCGGCTCGGCCCGTCCGGCCGGGGCCGTATTGTCTGGTATTGTGTTTCGAGAGGGGCTCAAGCTGTCGATAGTGGAAGGCGGCGGGCAGGCGGAAGACGGGGCTTAGCACGGCGGTATTAAGAAGGCACTGAATAAGCCGTCCCGGAAGCCCCCTCCCTTATTTTTCGACGTGTGGGACTCGGCAGGATGAGAAACAGCGGCACACTAGTATATTGGGTGGATCGGAGGCGAGGCGCGTTGCGTGACGCTGCTCTGCCGGGGCGATACGGGTCTGTCCGGGACGGTACGGGACCGACGCGGGACCCCAAGGGGTTGACACGCTCGAGGCGCCACGCCGCGCCACGCCACGCCACGCCGCGCCACGCCGCGCCACGCCGCGCAGGACACGTGTTTGATCGCTCCAGATAGAGCGTTATGACACATGATGAATTCGGAGCCGGAAATAGGTGCGCTCTGCTCTGTGTCGCCGACCGAACACACACACACACACACACACACACACACACACACACACACACACACACCACACACACACACACACGGCGCGTGAGGCGCGTGTTTTTTCCCCGGCGTCCACGCGTCGTGTTTGGTGGAATCGCCCCGCTTTTCCGTTGTTATTCTTGGTCCCAAATCAAAGCGCGCTTCGGTTCCCGCATTTGTCACGCTGACGTGCGCCCGGTCCCCCCCAAGGCCCCCCAAGGCAAGCCGGCCGGGCCGCCGCGGGGCCGCCGGGCCGCTAGGTGCCGTGTGTGTCGGTGGGATGGATCCACGGCGCGGTGCCTCGCTGACTCGCGGATCGACGCCCTCCTCCTGGTGGGTGATCGGCAACGCGGCGTCGCACCGCGTACGTGTCGCATAGTGCCCTCATCAGGAGCAAGTTTATCGCCACGTCCGCGCCGGGCCCCGCCACGCCACGCCACGCCCCGCCACGCCACGCCCCGCGACCACCCGCAAGCACGGCCCTCATTGTCTGCGGCGCCCCGCCCCGCCCGCCGCGCCGCCACACATGCAAGTCACATGTCGCCCCGCCCGCGCCGCCGCGGCACCGCGACCGACGGCGTCGACGGCGTCCCTAACCTCGCCGATGACGCCGGCCTAAATCGGGTGGCGCGGCGGCCGGCGGCCTTTATTTTTAAAATAGATCGATTTCCGCTCGATTTCGAGCCGGTCGGCGACGTCGGCGATGGCGACGCGCGACGTGCCGCGGCGATCGAGTTGGCAGCGCTCCCCGCGCTTGCCGTTTGTTCGAGCGTTTGTTGCAGTGGGCCAGCCGACAGTGGGCCAGATATAGGCGGCCAAAAAGTCGCTAAAAAGGACTCCAACCGAACGTGTGATCCCACCAATGGATTCCTCGTCCGGAGAGCAAACCATTGGTGGGGTCACACGTTCGGTTTGGGTACCATTTAGCGACTCTGGAGCTCAAAACGCGTTTTGGCCGCCTCCACCGGTATTCTGGCCCACTGTTTTGGCGGTCTGGCCGGCGGGGTGTCCTGATGGATCGGCGTGCGTGGCGCACGGGGTCGCACGTGGAGGCCCGGGGTTCGAACTTCGGCGTTATTTTTTGTCTCGAAGGCGTCCGCTGTCGACGCCGTGCTTCGCGACCAGGCCGCGCTGTCAATGCTCCGTCGCGGCCGCGTGCGGAACGTCAAAGTGCAGCGAGGCCCGCGGTCGCTCCGTCTCTCTCGCACCCCTGCGACGCACTCCGTGAGTGCGAGAGAGACGGAGCGAGAGGCGGCGGAATCGCTCGACACTCATCACGGCCGCGCCGCCGCGCCGCCGCGGCCCCGCGGAATAGACTGAAATAACGAACCGTCAGTTTGCCGAAGAGGCTGTGGGTGGCGGCGCCGCGGCGGCAGAGGACCGAGAGGACGCCCTCTTGTACAGACATGAGCTTAGCATCAGCACGCAGTTCGATGGGAGATGGGACAGCGGCCAAAAATACCAAAGGCTGCACATGAGCCCCCTCCCTCCCCGTCTCTCTCTCCCCGTTGCCGCGCCGCCGCCTCCCCCGCGACGTCCCCGCCGACAAGTAGCGGCGTGGCGGCGTACTTGCGACGAGTTTGCGAGCATATCCTGCCGTCCTGACAGGCGCTGCCGATGTGGCGCGGGGCGGGGCGGGGCGGGCGGGTGGGGCGGGGCGGGGCGGGGCGGCGTCGAGGGGGACGATGACAGGTAGCGGATCGTCCGGCCGCGTCCTGTTGCCGCTCGTTTGGCAGGTCGTTTCGTATTTTTCGTCGGCCGCCTCTCTCCTCCCGCTTCCCCGGCTCCCCGGTGCCCCGGGCCGCAGCATCCTGAGTCGTCGCTCTGTCTCTCTCGCACTCACGAGGCCTCCCGTGTGGGTGCGAGAGAGACAGAGCGACGAAAGCGACTCTCAGTGTGCTGGCCGCACCGCACCGCCGTCGTCGACCCCGTGCAGGCGCTCGTTCGCACCGCCTCAGTTAGATTGGCCGCGCCGCTGCCCGCCGCCCGATCCGAAGCCGCGAAGCGCGCGAAGCCCCGCCGATACAAAGCCGGCCATTCTCAGGACCGGCGTCCCCGCGTCGCCGCCGACTCGGCCGTGCAGTTTAGTGTTCCACACAGTTTAGCCCGCGCTCTCGCGGAGCCGCCATGCGCCTGCAGCCCGCACCGACCCCGCGACGTTTAATGGCCCTAGATTCCTGTCGAAATGAGAGCGGGCCCGTCTCTCTCGCTCCGATTATAAATTTGACCAGGTTCTACCACGGGCACGGCGACGGCCCGGCCCACCTTCTTGCCAATTTTCCCGGTTTTAATTGGGATTCGGGCCGATTGTGCGCGCGGCTTGCGCGAAGCAGGAAGGGGCCGCCGCCTCCACCTGCGCAGCGCGGCGCAGCGCCGAGCAGCAAGTTGGCTCGAACGGCGCGCTGCAGTTACGACCGTCACGCGTAAAGTAACTTGCTTCTAAAATTGAATTCCCGCGGCCGATGTCTCGTCTCCGCGCGGCTAACGCCGGTAACTGCACACTGATTCCGAGAGAGCCGTTGTCGTCGCTCTGTCTCTCTCGCACCCACACGGGACACCCCATGAGTGCGAGAGAGAGAGGCAGAGCGACGAATACGACTCGCGGAATCAGTCTGCTGGAGCAGCGATCTTTGAGGAGCGCCCCGGGGGGGGGGGGGGGTCACTGGGACTTCCCTATCGGTATTCATACATGAACCAGCGGGTGGAAACTCTGTTGCCAAAAACGGCATGCAAAGGTTTTTTGTGCAGCTTAGATCTCGGAACCCAGAGGTGGTAGGTGAAATCCGAGGTCATATTTGGAATCCTCATAAAATTTCACTCGGCGTAGGACATGTTTAGTGCCAGGGCCAAAGGAAATGGTCAGTCATTTCCATGAGAAAGTAAAAAAACAGGTGAAAACGCTCTGGACCAGGATAGAAATTTACGCTTTATCCCGAAAATTGCTATTTGGTCATGCTTAATGTGAGACAACGGTAAGGCCATTCAATTCTGAGTACAGATATGAATTCAGCGTGCTTTCGTTGTGATTCAAACCTTTAGGTTTCTAACCAGGGGCCGGCGACCCTTAGACCACCGTCCTGCCATGTTTTTAATTTTATGACGATTGTGCACCCTCTCTCAGTTCACGGCACGGTTCTCGTTAGATGAGGGGCTGACGCCTCCCAGGCAGCGCAGCCAGGACGTTCAGCAGGATTCGAACTGACCTCTGCATTACCACAGGTCCCGTTATAACTTGATTTAACTAATCCAGCCGATTTTTCGATCCTGGCCCACGCCGGTTTTTTCACCTTTGATTTCCTAGAGCCATGACCGTCCTTTCCTTGCACCCGCACGGGAATCCCTACGCCGAGTGAAATTTTAGAGGATCAAGATGACCTCGGATTTTACTGCCCCTTGGGTTCCGCGATCTAAGGTGCACAGAAGGGGGGGGGGGGTCTTTTTCGGCAAATTCCCCCGCTGCATGAACCATGCCGGCACACAGTGGGCCAGAAGACCAGTGGAGGCGGTCTAAATCCCGGAGCGTTTCGAGGCTAAATGGGACTCGAACCGAGCGTGTGATCCCACCAATGGATTGCTCTCGGAACGAGGAATCCATTGGTGGGGTCACACGCTCGGTTCGAGCCCTGTTTAGCGACTCTGGAGCTCAAAACGCGTCTCGAGTTCTGGCCGCCTCCACCGGTCTTCTGGCCCACTGTGCGGCGGTTCCGTTTGGCGGTGGTTTGTGACGGCGCCTTGTTTCTGTTGCAGGGCCGGGCGACACTGAAGCACGCCGACCAGCAGCGCGGAGTCGCCGGCACCGAGTAGGTTCCCTTGCACGGTGGAGATGGGCGGGGCGGGCGGGTCGGTCCGAGGCGGACGCGTGACGACGGAGTGACGACGGAGTGACGACCGAGTGACGCGGACACGCAACGCGACGCGACGACGCGACAGAGACGCACTTTGAGCATGGACGTGGAGCAGCACAAGTTGCTGTCTTCGCCTATGGAGTGGCCCCTACAGCCAGACCGGCCGTCGTACCGACTCGAGCAGTTCTGGCAACAGGTAAGGACCGAAAGAGAGGAAAAAAAAAATACGGAAAAAAAATTTGCAACTCGTAAACACGTTTTGACCTGAAAAAAAAAGTGCGGGCTCCTCGCCACGTCATGTCCGTCTGACTGTAACGCTGTAACCGCCTCCCGCTGCAAGAGTCGATACCTGGCATGACGCTCTGCGAACGAGAATGTCGTCCGGAGAGACTTCGCTTTTTTTTGCAGCGGGGCAGAAGCTTTTGTGTGTAGTTAGCTTAGTCGTGTAGTTGGTTGTAGTGACGCTGTATTTTGACGTAAAACGGAGACGCGACGCCCCCGCCCCGCCACCGCCTCGGCGGGCACTCTGTCGATTGAGATCTTAATGCTCCTTCAAGAGCTTGAAAAACCGATCGACCTCCTACAGTGCGGAAACAATCGCTTTTATTTGATCAAATCTGGGGCCGCCGCCGCCGCCGGAGCCGTCTCGTACCCCGTCCTCCGAATCTATCACTTATCTGCCCCAGTGACGCGGAAAATCGGGCGGCCCTTCTGCTTTTACGGAAGTTATAGCAACAAAGACGTCGAAGCCTTTCCAGGTGAATTTCCGTCAGTCATCGGATCATTGGGACGGCGGTGCGGCGGCGGCCCGAGACGCCGCGCAGCGCGGCCGACAAAGGTGGAAGCGGAAATTGATTTTGGTGTGAGATTACCCACTGCGCAGCGCGCCATCCCCCCTTCTTCTCTATTTTTCGGCCTAATGTATCGGCATCTCTCGATACAAGTGCAGCACCGCCATCAGTACTAATGTCTACCTGCGTCTGTCTGTCTGTCCGCCCAAAGTCATCAGAGCGCCATCGGTCGCCCTTCGATTCGATACATCAGCGTCAAAGATTTTTGGCCCCGGAATGGCTTGATTCGATAATAAGTACAGACTTGCCGCCTTCCCTTCATAGCGCATCATCTGTTTTCTCGGAGACTGTTTTTTTTTCCTCCTCCTTCTCTTCCCCTCTCGTCTTCCTCCGGCTGATTCCTTTCCCTGCGGTAATGTCTTTATAATTCTAGTGTGTTTGCTCTGTTTTTCACGCCCGGCCGTTGCTCGCGGATTTGCACTTTTGTCTCGTCCATTTGTTTTGGCCGGGGCTGTCTGCTCTGCGCGTCCTTGGCGCCAGCCGCCCCATCACTGTGGGGCGCGGCCGAGACGGGCCGAGGGATCCATTAGGCAGTGCAGTGGGGCAGGGCAGGTCGGCCGGCGTCTTCGACGAAGTCCTCCTCGATGCGTAACTTTTCACTAAACAGGACTCGAACCGAGCGTGTGACCCCACCAATGGATTCCTCGTTCCGAGAGCAATCCATTGGTGGGGTCACACGTTCGGATCGAGTCCCATTTAGCGACTCTGGAGCTCAAAACGCGTCTAGAGTTTTGGCCGCCTCCACTGTGGTCCGCAACTTGGCGCTTACCAGTGTGGCTGCTTCGGGGTCATCTTCCCCGAGGTCGCATCGCTCCGCATTGCACCGCTTTGCACTGCTCTGCTCCGCATCCGCGAATCAAAGTACGCGGTGTTTACCGCCCGACGGCCGGACGGGCCGGGCAGCTTGAAGCCACGCGATTTGAAGCCGCTTGCCGGCCCTAAATCTGCAGCCTGCATCGGCGCAACCTTGTTGGCGGCGCCACGGCCTCTCTCTCTCTCTCTCTCTCTCTCTCTCTCTCTCTCTCTCTCTCTCTCTCTCTCTCTCTCTCTCTCTCTCTCTCTCTCTCTCTCTCTCTCTCTCTGTTGGTTCGGTTCCGCGCGACCACTCCGCGCGTCTGTGCCCCGCCGCTCGTAAAGCGAGTCCAAAGCCGGCGGCGCAGTGGCTCTAGCGCGGCGTTAGAGTTAGGACGCTAGAACGGGCGGGCGTGGCCGCGGCGGGGCCACCGGGACCACCGGGCGGGGCGGCGGCGTCGCGGACACACACGGGAAGAGGCCGCCAAGTACGCCAAGGAGTAGGAGATCCCGCAGTGTAGGGGCCTTCTGGCCTTCTTCCTGCAGACTGATTCCGAGAGTCGTTTTCGTCGCTCTGTCTCTCTCGCACTCGCAGGGCGTCGCGTAACGGTGCGAGCGAGACAGAGCGACAAAACGACTGGTCGGCTTGGCCCGCTGCCGCCTGCAGAAAGCTCCCGATCCCGATCGGCCCCCCTTCGGAAGGGAACGAAGGCGCGAATGGGTGGCGAAGCGTCGTGGGGGGGATCGGGCGCGCCCTCCACTGTATAGCTGTGCGTCTGGCGGGGCCTGCCGATGCACTGCATAGAGGCTCTTGAAGAGTATTGAATGCTTTTTGTCATTGAGACAAAGGAAAGGCGGCGTTATTGTGTTGTTCCCTGCGATATTGAGCCATCAGGTAATGACTGTAATCGTGCATTATCGTTCGTCACACACACACACACACACACACACACCACACACACACACACACACACACACACACACACAGGCTGGCTCGCCCACCACGAAAGAGAAGGGGGAGACAGTTTTATTTTGACCTCTTTTTCGTTTTTAAGGATTGGCCGCATCGACGCGGTAAAGTATCGGTTACGAGTGATAATGAACGTATGATCGGGGCGTGTCCCGCCGGGGTGATCAGCTCCCCCCCCCCTTCCCTCTCTCCCCCTCCCTCGGGTTGTAAAGTCGCAAACGGACCGTTTTGACATCATAATATCGCCACACGCAACTCCCCGGCCGGCCGGCCGGTGTAAATTTCCCTCGACGCGCGGGCATAACTGGGTGTCTCCCTCTCTCTCGCACTCGGACGCGATCCGATATCTCGGCCGTTTACAGTCGCTAATTGTGGCGTCCGAATGGCCGGCGGTGTCGTCCGCCGCCGACTGATTCCGAGAGTCGTCGTCGTCCCTGTCTGTCCCTCTCGCACTCGTGGGGCGCCCCGTGAAGGCGCGAGAGAGGCAGAGCGACGAAAACGACTCTCGGAATCAGTCTGCCGGAGTCCGGCCCGGCGTCGATGTGGCCATCAAGGCCCTGCCCGCGGTGCCCCGCTGGCTAGCCCCGCCAGGCCGACGGCCGCATTGTTGAGGGCGGTCTCGGCGGGGACCACCTTGAGCGGGGCGCTGCGGCGGGCGCGCGGTGTTGACGTCGTCGCCAGCGTCCGGCGATCTGAAATAATCAGTCAATTATCCGTGGCACCTCGCCCCGGCCCGGCGTTCCCGTTGGCGGTGCGAGCCCCCCCCCCCCGCCGTTTTCCCGCCGCACCTTCATAACGCCATGCCGTACTACTATGGGCTCCTAATCAGCAAAGTTAGGTCGTCGATGCGATGGGCGGCGCGGCGCGATGGCAAGCGATGGGGTGGCGGCCGCCCTGCAGACTGATTCCGAGAGTCGCTTTCGTCGCTCTGTCTCTCTCGCACTCGCGGGGCGCCCCGTGCGAGTGCGAGAGAGACAGAGCGACGAAAGCTCCTCTCGGAATCAGTGTGCTGGTGGCGGGCGTGGCGGCGGTCCCCGCGGCCTCGTCGATGGCCCCGGGATATTGCGAATCTGGCGGCACGGCGAGGAAGGATATGGATTCCAAGTGCGGTGCGCCGCCGCCGTGCCGTCGGTCGACTTCGCTGCAAACCGCGCGCGGAGTTCGCGTTCGAATTTTGGCGCCATTTTCACACTGTTACCGCTATGAAGCACAAGGGGGGTAAGTCCGAGTCGGAGCAGTCCGCGGGGGCCTCGCGAAAAAGGGGAGGGGGAGCGGAAGTGGCGTAGCAATGAAAAGGAAAGGGCCACTACACCGTGCAGCCCCCCACCCCCACCCACGCCCCCAAATGGGGCCCCATGCGATATTTATAACAAATATAAAAAAAGCAGGCGTTTTAATATTACGGGCTGTGCGGCACGGTAAAGGGGATTTGCTCTACCACGGCCGTGCCTTGCAGTGGCGTGCCGTGCCGGCCGCAGATACCGCACTTTACAGCCCGAAATATATATTAAAAGCTAATACATGCCACATTGTGTGATAAAAGTTGGGCTGCCGGGCCGCAAGACAAGGGCGGCTCGGGGAAATTGATTTAGAAAATGCTTTGATACGGCCGGGGCGGGGCGGGGCGGGGCGGGGCGGGCGGGTGGGGCGGGGTGGGGTGGGGCGCGAAAAAGAGACGAATTTGAGTGGTGAGCTGACAATGACGGCCGCCGTCAGATTCGCACTTTGATGTTGTGGCTTGGCCCGGATTTTTTTTAATTTTCGGGGCAAAATGTTTGTGGCTTTCCGTGTACACGGCGTGTGTATAGACAGGCGGTGCCCGTAGACCGGTGGTATAGGTGTGCTCCTAATGTGATTTTGATGATTTGTGATTGATTGATTCGGTTCGGCCCGACGGGGCCCGACACCTTCGGGGCGACTTCGGTGGGACTTCGGGCCGCCGCCGAAGGGTTGCGCGGTGATTAGGATTCGACAATCCGTTACGGTGGTCCACTTTTTTTTTCTCCCCCTTGCTGGTTTTACCATTGTTTCTTAAACGGGAAGACGCTTCGCCTCGTGCAACCCTCGTGAAACGAACAAATTAAAACTTGTATAGTTTTTATTAGTTTTTTAGTAAATTTTGTTTAATTTTAAAAATTGAATTAAATTTGACTAAACTTAAGTATTTTTAATTAATTTTCATTTGCAAAACTAGAATTTGTTAATCTTTGTAAGCTGCATTTATTCAATTTAATTTAAGATTTAATTAAAGCAGCTTACAAAGATTAACAAATTCTAGTTTTGCAAATGAAAATTAATTAAAAATACTTAAGTTTAGTCAAATTTAATTCAATTTTTAAAAT